CAGGCAGAGGGAGAAGCAGGCTCCATGCAGGGAGCCCGACATGGGACTCGATCTCAGGTCTCCAGGATCATGCCCTGGGCGGAAGGCGGTGCCAAACCGCCAAGCCACCCAGGCTGCCCCACTGGTGAAACATTCTTTTTTTTTTTTTTTTTTTTGTAGTCACAGAGAGAGAGAGAGAGGCAGAGACACAGGCAGAGGGAGAAGCAGGCTCCATGCACCGGGAGCCCGACGTGGGATTCGATTCCGGGTCTCCAGGATCGCGCCCTGGGCCAAAGGCAGGCGCCAAACCACTGCGCCACCCAGGGATCCCCTGGTGAAACATTCTTATGTTGACTTAACTCCAGGCCCTGTGCTGGGGGCCACTGGGAACTGGCTCTGGGCTACATTAATCAATGGGCTGACTACCCATGCACTTGGGGCACCAACAAAGCAGAGAGAAAAGTTTGTGTTTAATTAAAATCATTCAGAATTTTGCATTCAGAAAATCCAGAGTAGAGCCATTTTAATTACAGCAACATGTTATTTTAGGGTTTTCATGTTTAATAGTTTCTATTTTTAATTACATATAGGAGGAGAGGTTTGATCTTTTCCGGATTTAGGGTGTCTGAATTGCTAAAGGCCTGCCCTGGCATTGACAGACCCAGCACTCTCTTGAGGGGCCTCCAATCCATGGTGGAGGTGCTAGAGTATAATCTGGGCAGGAATGGATATGTCCTCTTGGACATACCAACAAGCATCACAGACTTAATTAAATGTCTCAAGCAGAATCCTTGGTCTCCTCCCTCAACCTTTTCTCCCTTCCCCCAGAATTCTGAGTCTCAGTAATGGCACTTCCATTTGCCTTGTTTCAGCCCCCAAACTGGGACTTACCTTTAATTCCTCTTTACCACATTTTGCACATATCACCCAACATGTCTTTTCTTTTTAAATTTCATTTATTTATTCATGAGAGACAGAGAGAGAGAGAGAGAGAGAGAGAGAGAGAGAGACACAGGCAGAGGGAGAAGCAGGCTACATGCAGGGAGCCTGATGCGGGACTCGATTCCAGGACTCCAGGACCACGACCTGGGCCAAAGGCAGCGCTAAACCGCTGAAGCACCTGGGCTGCCAAACATATCTTATTTTTTTTTTTTTTAAGATTTTATTTATTTGGGGCAGCCCAGGTGGCTCAGTGGTTTAGCGCCGCCTTCAGCCCAGGGCCTGATTCTGGAGACCCGGGATCGAGTCCCACATCAGGCTCCCTGCATGGAGCCTGCTTCTCCCTCTGCCTGTGTCTCTGCCTCTCTCTCTCTGTGTGTCTCTCATGAATAAATAAATAAATAAAATCTTTAAAAAAATATTTTATTTACTTATTCATGAGAGACACAGTGAGAAGGCAGAAACACAGGCAGAGGGAGAAGCAGGCTCCTCACAGGGAGCCCAATGAGGGACTCAATCCCGAAACTCCAGGATCACGCCCTGAGTCAAAGCAGACGCTCAACCGCTCAACCGCTGAGCCACCCAGGCGTACCTCACCCAACATATCTTGATGGCTCTAACTTCAAAAGAGATTATAAAGCTTCTCTCCTGCATTCCTTATCAGCATCCTAATCCAAGCCACTCCATCTTCTGCAGATATTGACCATTGCCACCAAACAAATTTCCATACTTCCACTGCTCAGGCCCCTCCAAGTCATTCTCCATGAAGGAAAATGATTTATACTTAGAAAGCATATATCAGGTGGCACCTGGCTGGCTCAGTCAGTAGAGCATATGACTCTTGATCTAAGGGGTTGTAGTGAGTTCATGCCCCACATTGGGTGTGGGAGCCTACTTGAAAAAAATTAAGGCAGCCCGGGTGGCTCGGCAGTTTAGTGCTGCCTTCAGCCCAGGGCCTGATCCTGGGGACCTGAGATCAAGTGCCACGTCGGGCTCGCTACATGGAACCTGCTTCTCCCTCTGCCTTGTGTCTCTGCCTTTCCTTCTCTCTCTGTGTATCTCACAAATAAAATCTTTAAAAAACAAATAGCTTATCTCAAAAAAATAAATAATAAAAATTGTTTTAAAAATCAGGGGTGCCTGTTTGACTCAGTCAGTGGAATATGCAACTCTTGATCTCAGGGTTGTGAGTTCACACCCCACATGGCTGTAGAGATTACTTAAAAATAAAATATGTTTTTGTTATTTTTTAAAAGATTTATAGATTTATTTATTTATTTATTTATTTATTTATTTACTTATGATAGAGAGAGAGAGAGAGAGAGGCAGAGACACAGGAGGAGGGAGAAGCAGGCTACATTCAGGGAGCCTGACGTGAGACTCGATCCTGGGACTCCGGAATTACACCCCAAGCCAAATGGAGATGCTCAACCACTGAGCCATCCAGGTGTCCCTAAAAATAAAATCTTAAAAAAAAAAAGCATACATTAAATCATGCCAGGCACCTGCTTAAAGCTGCCAACAGCTTCCTGTTGCATGTAAAACCCAGAGGGTGAGAACACAGCAGGCAATCTCCCCCGACAGGCAAAAACAGGATTCTGAGGGCAGCACAGACCCCGAACTGGATTGGAGAAGCCAACATGGTTCTCCCTCGACTTTCTCAGGGCCTCATGCCTTCTCGTAGCTGTTCCCTTTCCCTACCTTCCTCCTGCAGACCACCTCCCCCAGCTCACTGTATGAGCAGATGCTCAGGGCGAATTATATTCTCTCCACAGACCTCCACTTTCCAGCCAGTTTGTCTTCAGGTTCAGATTCTCATCTGCTCAACTCAGTTCCAGGGACTGCTGTTCAAGGTGCAATCAGCTACGAGGTGGGGGTGGGGGTGGGTGATGGTGGGGGTGGGTGATGGTGGTGGTGATGTGGTGGTGGTAGTTCTCCAAATATGGCTACTAACATTTCCTCCCATCGCTGTAAGTGTAAGCTGCTTCTCTCATCATGACACGGACTCTCTCATCAAGACATTGAATCTGGGCAGGCATGGGAATTTGCTTTGACCAGGAGAATGGCACAGAAATGCTGTTTGGGGACTTCTGAGCACAAGCTGTGAGAGGACCAGTGGTTCTTGCTTTCTCTCTATAGGAAGCCAGCTGCTGCCCTGTGCTGTAAGGAAGTGCAGGCTAGATGATTGGTCAGGAGCCTTGGGGAAAGACCCTGGATGGGCAGAGGCCACGTGGGGTGTTCTGGTCTCAGTCATGCCCCCAGCTGGACACAACACTTAAGAGACTGCCTACACCACTGCCAGCTGAGCCTGCCAAGCCCCAGCATCTGGAAAAATGATGACTGTGTTTGAAGCCACTTAAGCCTTGGAGTGGTTACACAGCAACAGATACCTGAAACAGGAGCTAAGGTCACATGCCTTTAGCACAGTGTACCGGTAGTTCCCAAAGAGGCTGGTTCCACTCCAGGGACATTCTCTAGACATGTGCCTTGGAGGCCAGGGTTGGGATATGTTCTCTTTTCCCCTTGAGGACTTGGCAGAGAGACCTGGAAAGTTGGCGATATCATGCCAGCTGGTGTGTCTCAGAGCCCTAGGGCTCCCCTCCAGGCTCTTTTCTGCAGACAGGATTTCTTGCCTCTCTGGAGAAGGGTGGAAGATGGCTGCTCCACACTGTCCACACTTGTCTTTAGCAATCAGTGCAAATTACACCAGAATCTCTCAGTCTGTCTCGGGGGTGCCTGACTGGCTTAGTTGGAAGAGCATGCGACTCTTGATCTCTGGCTTGTGAGTTCAAGCTCCACATTAGGTGTAAAAATTACTAAAAATAAACTTAAAAAAAAATCTCTCAGTTCATCCCAATTCCAAGATCCTGGGGAAAAGACCTGACTGGTGTAACCTGGAATAGGGATGTGTCAAGAAGACTAATCAACTGTGGCCAAGTGGTATGGCAAGGAGGACATAAAAGGTGGTGGTGGCAGTGGGTGGCCTCAGAGAATGGGCCTTATACTGAGCATATGCCCTAAAAGATCCTTGCCACAAGAGCTTTCTGGAAAAATGGATTCCTGACCCACCCACCTTAGGAATTGGTCCCTCTGGCTGGGAGCAGAGAACGTCTCTCTCCCCGAATTGCAGGTCATGGAAGTGGTGTGGAAGGTCCTCTCTGCCCCGCTCCAGAGCAGCTCTATAATTGCTGTATCCTCACATGTGGGCCACTGAGCACGGTCAGGCTGGGTTGAGCAGACTTGGGCTCTGTACACCCAGGAGGAACCCAGGGGGAGATGTGAGACACCTGCCAGTCTCTCTGCATTGGCATCCTACACGGCAAGGCAGAGTGGAGCACCTTCAGGTTCTATCTTGCCCACAACGGCGGCAGGATAGTGGTGAGAGGTCGAGTGGCTCCCTGGGTGAAGATACCTAAATAGGGGCACAGAATGGCTGCCCTGGAAAGGCAGAGAGAGGAAGGGAGCTCATCTGGCTGCACAGGATGCCCAGAAGCCCCAGGAGAAACTTGGAGAGGAGACCTGACAATCATGGCCCCAGCGAAGTCTGCAGAGCCTTCCAGAGAGCTGTCTGGCCCAGGGGCACTGCTGAAAGGGTAGTCACATGGTCAGCCTGGGGCAGCCTCCTAGGGACCTACTTGGACCCTCCAGACTCAAGAGTTGGAGCCGGGAAATACAAATTACAATGACGGGTAGTTCTGGGGGCATCAGGAAAGGGTAGATGCATGGTTCCCCGTAGGAACGTGAGGATGTGGCATGTCAAAGGGAGCAGGTTGCTGCCCTGGCAGAGGAGGAGTCCTCTGGCAGCAGGACCGGTGATGCTCAGGGGCTGTTAGGAAAAGGGACCACGAGTCCTAAGAGGCTTGAAAAGCCAGGAAGGAGCACCCTGGAACAGAGAAGAGCCACAAGCAGGCACTTGTGTTCAAGCAGAGCATGGGAGGTCAGGGGGTCAGGGCATGGCAGCTGTGAGGAAGGCCTGCCAAGGTATCACTCCAGGGCGGGTGCTCAGGCCTGTGGAAGTGCAGCTGAACTCTGGACAAAAAAAATCGTGCTCCAGCAACACAAGCTTTATTACTCCTGTTGGCTCCCCCGACAGGCTAGCAGAGGTCCTCGTGGACATTTAGCCCACCCAGAAGGCTTGGGGCAGGAGCCGGCTGGGGGTGGGGGTGGGGGGTAGCACTCCACTGGAGCAAGAGGAGGAGTGGGGAATCAAGCGCTGGGTGCGGGGGAGCTGGGGCCTCACGGAGGGTCACTGAGACTCGGGTTCGTGGAGTCGCTGACGTCTGCCTCCACTTGAGGCTCGGGGGGAGCTCTGGGGCGTGCCCTCGTCTGGGAAGTCATCACCCTGGTCCTCATCTTCCTCCTCATTGCTCTGACTGTCCCCGTCTACTAATTCCTGGCTCTGATTAGCGCCCACGGCCGTGGGCTCCTGCTGGCTCGTGGGCCTCTGTTCCTCGGCTCCAGCATCCTCCTGAGCCCAGAGCAGCCGAAGGTCCGGCAGCTCACTGTCGAGGCTGGGCTCGGTGGCCTCCGCCGGGTCGGCGCGGGGGGCTGGCTCCGGACGGGTGGAGGGGGACTCGGAGCTGCTGTGCCCCGCCCCTTGATGGGCGGGGCCGCGCTGGGCGGGGCCGCGGTGGGAGCTGCGCTGGGAGGCGGAGTCATGCTGGGAGGTTTGTCGGGACAGCTGCCGGGCCCACTCGACCTCCTCCAGCTTGCGCAGCAGGCAGTTCCAGTTGATCTTTGAGGACAGGCAGATGCGGGAGCCCTTCACCTTCTTGAAGCCCAGGAAGAGATCCATGAGCGTCTCGGTGACGGGGAAGGAGATGAAGCCCAGCTGCTTGGAGAGATTCTTCTCGAACTTGTACTTGTAGATGACCAGGGATACAACCTTCTCCACTAAGTAGCTGACGAGCTCCTTGTACACGGGGTTGGAGAAGTGGGACAGGGTGGACTTGAATGAGATGGAGGGTAGTGTCTTCTTCACGAACCTGTAATTAGGGCTCTGTGCAACAGCCAGGGAGGGAAAGGGAGACACGTCATGCCATTCCCGATGCCTTGGGATGCCCTTCATACCCAGAGCACCTTCCACATCACCCACACAAATGCCACGTTTGTCACACTAGGGGTATGGCCTTGCCACATCTGCTATGCTGTCTCAATCAACAGCTGAGCACAGGTCCTGCATGTCAGCCACACCCTCACACTTACCACGTGGGCCGCACACCAGCCACACCAGTCAGGCCTGTGGCAAAGCTGGTGATGTCAGTCAGGATGTTAGCCAAACTGGAGCCTGGATAACCTGGGCTCTGGTAGGTTCTCCCCTGGGTCAAGGTTCAGAGGAGGGAAGCCTGCCTGGGTCTTCATAGGTGAGACAAGGGTCAGGCAGGGACTGTGCTGGGGAACTACCAGGGTGAAGCCACCTAGGTCTTCTCCATACCCTTCCTGAGCAATTCACTCTCAGCAGACATGCTGAAGAGTCCTGTCCTAGGTAGTAGAAGCAGAGGGAGCTGGACCTAGGATGCAGAGCCCCATTCTGCTTAGGCTGCTGTCCACATTCTGCTTAGGCTGCTGTCCACAAGGAACAAGACACTGCCCACATAGAAGGGCCTCTGAGATTCACATGCAAACATTACAAAAAATACTCAGAATGAAACGTAGGCTTTATTCATCTTTGACAACACCTGGCAGTAACTAGGCCAGGTGGTTTCCACTGTGCAGGTCAAGATACCCATGACAGTGGTGCTAAGGGTGGTAGCTGAAGGAGCCTTTCCCACACAAACCCTTCCCTAACCCACCTAGCTCCACCCTTGAGGTCATCTCTGGATGCAGTGAAACAGCAGATGGGGAGATGCCTCTAACCACTGAGGAGGGAAGTGGTGAAAACAAAGGAAGGTGGTGGGAGAAGCCAGGGTAGGGGGAGGTGAGGGGAGGTGTGTCCTGGATCGTGGACTGGGTCTGACTAGAGGGCCCTTCCACCACAATCCCTGGGATAGGCAGAGGGTGGTATAGGCTCTGCCAGGGATTGGCCTTCTGGCTGGAGTTTGGGGGCCCAGAAGAAGGTATGGGTGGTCTCTGTAGTTTAGGGTCCTTGTCAGGAGCCTCCTGACTGGGATGGGGTGAGGGAACCTTGGGTTCTTCTGTGGGTGTCACCTCAACCCTTAATCTGTTGGCCACCTGGGCACTAGACAGAGGGGATCCACCTTCCTTGGATTTGGCCTCTCCTCTGCCCTTGGTGCTCTTTCTTCGAATCATCTTGGAGCTGGAGACTCTGATGGGAAGCATATCGTAAGTCTCCTCCCCATCAGTGGGTGTGGCTGGCTTGGAGTCTTGCACTGAGTCAGAATTGGGTTCTGGCTTGGAGTCTTGCACTGAGTCAGAATTGGGTTCTGTTGCAGACTCCCATTCTGAAGGGAAGAGAGGGCAGCCATCGTGACGTCGGGCTCCACTGAGCTTGTCCACGGCCTGGCGGACCACACTCTGCAAGGCAGGGAAGAGGTGGTGCTCAGCCAGGAAGTCCAGGGTCCGATGGGGCTCACGGAATGAACAGTAGCCAGGCAGGTCAAAGGACGCTGGCTGGTTCAACAAGGACTTGATCTCCTTATAACGCTCTCGCTTGAGGAAAGTCAGTTCCTCTTCTACAGGCCCTAGCTCTGATGTTTGGGCTGTGCCAGTGCTTGAGCCCAGCAGGCCTGAGAACCAGGACAGAGGAGGCTCCTGGGTCCGCTGGCTGCTGGCCTGGCTGCCCAGCGAGTCCCACAGCAGGGAGTCCGTCTGGAAGCAGGACCGACCCATGCCTTTCTGAGGAGAAAGGGGGACTTTCAGGTGCATCCAAGAGCAGCCAAGCCAGGCCTAAGCCTGGCCCTGGGCTGGGGTCCATCCTGCCCACCCTGGGCCATGCCCCTAGATCTCACCCCTCTGTTCTCCAGCTTCAGCAGCCGTTTGAGGTTCTTCTCCAGCAAAAGTTTGTCCCTCATGGGTGGCAGTGAGCCCATGCCACGGGCTCCCAGGTCACTGTCCTGGCTATGGGAGCCCAGCCAGCTAGCTGTGAAGCTGCTATGGGAGTCAGACATGGAGCTGGAGGAGGATGGGTAATTGTTGGGACGTCCAGTGCAGAGGCTGGGTCGGGCACGGTGTCGGTGTACAGTACTAAGGCTAGGCCGGGCACGAACCCGCTGCCCACCCCTTGGCACCTCTATTGGGTCCTGCACCTCCACCAGCGGCACCCCAGCCTCTGTCTTCATGGCGGTCACGCGCTCAGTTGCTTCCTCCACCACCGTCTGTAGGCTGTCTAGCACCTGACCCTCGACAAGAAAATCCAGGAAGCTACCAAAGGGCCGAGGGTCCCTTGGGTTTCGTCTGTGGCCACGGAGCCCTGAGCTGTCTGCGCGGGTGTACCTTGATGGTGGGTGTGGCATGTGGCCCGACTTGTAGGCTTGCCCCATTTCCGGGAAGGGTGGCTTCTTAGGTGGCTGCACCAGAGGAGACAGGCATGTCACATAGGGCAGGGATGTTCCACAGGGCTAGGGGTCCCTCGGAGTCCTCCTAGGGCACCAGGAGTTGAGTGGGAGTGGGTAATGGGAGAAGGTGTGTCTTGGAGTCAGCAGGTTCCTGAATCTGGACCCTGGCTCTGCTGCCACATGGTGTGACACCATGGGCATGATGGCCTCTCTTGAGGTCCAATTTCCTCTTCTGCAAAGTGGGGATCAATTTTGGATCACCCCAATGCTCTCCTGCCACATATATTTCATGTATATGAGATGTGGCCAGGGAGTCTGAAAGCCCACTTTGTCCTCACACAGGGCAGGAATGGGCAATCACAAACTCCTCTGAGTTCTACTTGGGCACCTCACTTGTCCTCTGAGCAGACCAGCCCTACCTCCACTGTACAGACCACCTGTGGTCCTGACCCCTGGGCCCCCCATGGCTGTTTCTGAAGCTTTGAGCCTTGGGCCCTGAGTAGACTCCATGCTCCGGCGCTCTGGGTACCAATCTACCACACTCCTTCAGAACTGCTGGAGGTGAGGGGATGCAGGGAATGAAGTTGAGGGTGACCAGGGCCCAGCAGGATGTCAGAGGAATGGTTAAGGTGATGAGGATGACTAAGAGGCTCAGAGATGAGGTCAACAGGTGCTGAGAAAGGGGGGCTGTCATCTGGGGTGCTGGAGCTGGTAGGGAACATTTTGGGGGTCTTGGGAGTTAGGGCCCTGCAGGACACACGTACCCGGGCCACGTAGGTGGTGTGGCCAGCCTCGTCATCTGCCAAGTATCCAGAATGGTGGTGGCAGCTGGTCATGATGAGGGTGGACCGGCCAGCTATCCGCCTCTTCTCTCCGGTGCTGGAGCACAGCCACGGATTCCTCTCTGCGCCCGGCGGGGGACGGCGTGAGGGTATGCCTAGGCCTCCGTGGATCCACCGCTCCCGTGTCTGTCAGCCACTGCGTCTGCGGGTCCCTCGCTCCCCTCACCCCACGTCCTTCAAGCATCGGGCCCTTCCTCTGCTAGGGGTCCCCTAGGCGTCTGCGCACTGTCCGTGTCCAGAGTCGTCGGGGGTGGGGTCCCCAAGGACGACTGCATCCTGCCTCCGACCAAGTCTGGGTCTGCGTGTGTCCAACCCTCCCCTTCTCTTAGACCCCAAATTCCCTGGGGTCTACCCCTGGCCCAGAGCCAACCTGCTCACCAGAGTCCGCGCCTCGCTGGGTGCCAGTTAGCGTAGTCTGCACCCTCGCCCGGGTGCGGACGCTGAGCTCTAGAGTCACCCCCACCTGCCCCGCTTGCTTATTTACATGCTGCGTCCTGATTGGCTCGCAAGGCCTTCTAGCCCCCGGCACAATGGCTGGGGGCGGGACCCAGACAGGCCCCTCCCCGCCTCTCCGTCTTCGCCCCGCCCACATTCGCTGTGCTTGCTCGGGACTGCTCCCCCAGGCCGGAGGACCGGGAGCTCAGATCGGCGCTCTGCACCTGAGGGGAGCCCTAAGGGTAAAAACCGCGGCTTCCTCTGGTGACACAAGCACTTTCCTCAACTGCACTCCGGTCGCTGCCTTGTCCTGGGCTTCCTGCTGACTGCTCCTTTCTAGGGTTCTCCCCTTGCCCAGTGTGGACGACCCCAGCGCGGGTCGGGGGGTCTTCAGCCCTCTCCCCTCCGCGGTGTCCCTGAGCGCAGTGTAAGAGTCTCAGTTCCAAGTCACAGACCTAGCTTCAATCCCTAGCTCTGCTGTTTGCTGCCAGCGTGACTCAACCTCTCTGATCATTTGGTCCTCCTCTGTAAATAGTTGAGCACCATACAGGAGTATGGAGATTAAATCAAAACTGCGTGCAACACACCCGGCGCCCCAATAAGAGCCCTGTGTATCTTTCCCTCTTTTCCCCCTTGGCTTAGTAAACTCCTAATGTCCCTCCCAGGTGTCCCCTCCTCTGAGAAGCCTTCCCAGAAGGCGTGCCACCCAAAACAGAATTACCAAAAACCCCATTCCAGACTATCCCACACCACATTACTACTTGTCTACCAGATGGTGCTCCTTGGGGGTAGGAAATGAGGCACCCCCCCATCTCTAATATTTCTAATATTAGAAAATTATTCTAATTGAATACATGTCAATTTCCTCTTTCCAATCTGCTTGCCATCAGGGCCTCTGGCCTTTCCAGGATCAGCATCCCAGTGGAGAAACATAGTCGAAGTCCAACAATTCAATAATCACAATTGAACACAACAATCCTTATGCCAAGAGGCTGATGAAGAGCTCTATATGGAGCCTCTGATCTGTAAAACATCCCATGAGGAGCATATGATTTGTTATGCTCAAGCTCAGCTTTGCCCTCTCTGCCCTTGACCCAAGGGACAGGTAGGAAGTAGACAACCAGAGTAGGCCCAGAGCTTTGGAGGCCAGTCCCAGCTCCACTACTCCTGGAAGGGTCACTTTGGGCAAGACACTTCTCCCCTCTGAGCATCAGTTTCCTCATCTGTAAAACAAGAAAGACATTACCAATCCCCTGGGCTGGATACAAATGCTGCACTTTCCATCAGGTACATCAAAACAGCCACATCACAATGAAACCTCTCACTGTCAACCATGGTGACTATTTGTAGAGTCATCAGCAAGGAAAGTTTTTGTGGACCATAGAAGAAAACAAAATGAGATTATGAATGTAAAACTGTAGTCTGGCACAGAGCTCAAGTTGTGGAATTAGGAACTAAGGCTTTCTCAAACAAAGCCATTGGTATGCAAGTTTTCTTGTTTAGAACTTTTATTTTGGGGCACCTGGGTGGCTCAGTGGTTGAGCGTGTGCCTTTGGCTCAGGGCGTGATCCTGGAGTCCTGGGATAGCGTCCCACATTAGGCTTCCCACATGGAGCCTGCTTCCCCCTCTGACTATGTCTCTGCCTCTCTCTCTGTATCTCTCATGAATAAATAAATAAAATCTTTAAAAAAAAACTTTTATTTTATGAAAAAGAATGTAAGAAAAAGCATTTTTTAGAAATAAATCACCAAATAGGCAATTTGAAAAAAGTTCATAGTCATATCAAAAAAAAAAAAAAAGAAAAGAAAAGAAAGAAACGTTATGAGAATAACATTGATGTGATCATTATCATCTCAACACAACACAAAGACTTTGGTGTGAGGGAGAAAAGGAATTGGGTTTATTTATTTGCTTAGAAAAATACTGAAAGGACACTTTCCAGAAACTTAACAATGGTGATCTTAGGGAAGGGGACAACAGGCACCTTGGAAGCGAAGGGTGAGCGAGATTTATTTATTTTTTTTTTTATTTATGATAGTCACAGAGAGAGAGAGAGACAGGCCGAGACACAGGCAGAGGGAGAAGCAGGCTCCATGCACCGGGAGCCCGACGTGGGATTCGATTCCAGGTCTCCAGGATCGCGCCCTGGGCCAAAGGCAGGCGGCAAACCGCTGCGCCACCCAGGGATCCCGAGATTTTTTTTTCCAATAGGGTTTTCCCTCCTGTATTTTTCATTTCTTTTAAAATTTTTATTTATTTGAGAGAGAGAGAACGAGCCCGCGAGTACGAGCAGGGAGGAGGGGCAGAGGGAGGGGGAGAAGAGGACTCCAGGCTGAGCAGGGAGCCCAACCCGGGGCTGGATGCCAGGGCCCTGACACTATGACTTGATCCGAAGGCAGATGCTTAACCAACTGAGCCACCCAGGCGTCCTCGTATTTTTCACATTAAAGACCATTTTTTGCAGTTCCTGAAAGTCCCGCGTTAGGATAAAACCGGCCACGGTCGGGTTAGGGCGAGCGCTCCGCAGGGCGGGAGGGGATCGTCGCAGGGCCCCCGCGGGGCGGGTAGGCGGTGAGAACAAAGGCCGAGTGCCGCCGCGTGGGGGAGCGCGCGGGGCGGAGCCTGGGCTGCGTCTGGGGGCGGGGCCTGGATCCGGTGCTCTGGGGTCCCCAGCCTCGGCGGGAGTGGCCATGGCCCGCCCGCGAGTGCGGCTGGTGGTCACCGCGGACGACTTTGGTTACTGCCCGCGGCGCGATGAGGGCATCGTAGAGGCCTTTCTGGCGGGGGCTGTGACCAGCGTGTCTCTGCTGGTCAACGGCGCAGCCGCAGAGAGCGCGGCGGAGCTGGCCCGCAGGTGAGCGGCGGCACCCTGCGGGGGCGGGCGGGCTTGGGGAGCCGCCGCCCGGCCGCAGCCGAGGCTCCGGCTCGCGCTCCGCCTGCAGGTACCAAATCCCCACCGGCCTCCACGCCAACCTGTCCGAGGGCCGCCCCGTGGGCCCGGCCTGCCACGGCGCCTCGACGCTGCTCAGCCCCGAAGGCTTCTTCCTCGGCAAGATGGGATTTCGAGAGGCAGTGACGGCCGGAGACGTGGCCTTGCCCCAGGTGCGGCGATGCGGCTGCCGGAGAGGCTTCCGATGACCTCCACGGCTCCACCCCGAGGGTCCCGTGAAGCCGTTAGGGGCAGGGGCATGCGATGGACGCTCTCCTGATTCAGACTGGAGCAGCTACGCGGGGGCACCTGGAGGGAGCCTCCTACGTCGCTGCTCCCTGACTTCCAAGGCGCCTGTTGTCCTCTGTCCAGGTGCGGGAGGAGCTGGAGGCCCAGCTGATTCGCTTCCGGGAGCTCCTGGGCGGGGACCCCACTCACGTGGACGGGCACCAGCACGTGCACGTGCTCCCAGGTTGGTGGGGGTGGACACTGTTCCCTGGCGGGGGCTACGGGTGAGAGGTGGTCCCGGGTCCTAAGCCCCCCGCCCCACCCCGTGCTGCTTCCTGCCTCCTCCCCGCCCGCAGGCGTGTGCCAGGTGTTCGCAGAGGCGCTGCAGGCCAACGGTGTGCGCTTCACGCGATTGCCGGTGGAGCGCGGGGTGGGCGGCTGCGCGTGGCTCGAAGAAGCCCCCGCGCGTGCCTTCGCCTGTGCGGTGGAGCGCGACGCCCGGGCCGCCGTGGGCCCCTTCTCCCACTACGGCCTACGGTGAGGTCCCTGTCCCGCCCATATCCCCGTGGGTCCTGCTGGCAGTTCACCTGACAGCTGTGTCCGTTCCTCAGGCCTCCACTGGCGTGGCCCCCCACCCCAGCCCTGCCCATCACAGCCCTGCTGGTCCTTGCCGCTGATGCCCCGATACCCGCAGGTGGACGGATGCCTTCGTGGGCCTGAGCACCTGCGGCCGGCACATGTCTGCTCACCGCATATCAGGAGCACTAGCGCGGGCCCTGGAAGGCATACCCACCGGCCGTACCCTGACAGCCGAGCTGATGGCCCACCCCGGCTACCCCAGTGTGCCTCCAGCTGGGGGCTGCGGCGAGGGCCCCGATGCCTTTTCCTGCTCTTGGGAGCGGCTGCACGAACTGCGTGTCCTCACCGCGCCCACACTTCGGACCCGACTTGCACAGGAGGGTGTACAGCTCTGCACCCTGCACGACCTAGACTCCAAGAGGCATGGGGAAGGGATCCCTGGAGAAGCCACTCTGGAAACATTCCTGGAGCCCTCCCCACCATGCCCCTGACAAGCATAATGTCCTTTAGTGCAAAGAAAGGGGGCCAGCGTCAAGCCCTGGGACAGCCAGGAACCAGGTGGCAGGGCGGGGGTCCAGTAACATACTCCCTTTGGCAGGCCCCTGTCACCTCTGTGTCTAGGTCCTTGTGGCTCAGAATGGCTGCTAGAGCTTTGGCAACCCATCTTGGCTGCAGGCAGGTTGGCCCTGTGACATCTGAGCCTGGGGCCTGCCAACCATCTTCCTTATTCAGATGTAGTAGAGAGAGACCACTGTATTAAAATATGTCTTGTAAACTTGGGTGGTTTTTAAACACTGCCCAGAAAATGTTTACAGACACAAGAAAGAGCAAAGGTAACTCCTTCAGGGCCCAAACCTGGTTATTAGAATAGATACACAAAACACTCCATGTTCTGGCTTTGTTCATGCTTAAGTTTATTATTTTGGGGGGAGGGGGGTTGGGAGAAGAATGTCTCACCAGGCTACTTTTTGAAAGATAATATAATCTCAAATTTTATTTAAAAAGTCACCTGATTGTTGTTTTTTAAGTCAACTCCATACCCAGAGTGGAGCCTAATGCGGGGCATGAGCTCAGGACCCTGAGATGGAGACCTTAGCTGAAATCAAGAGTTGGAGGCTTAACTGACTGAGCCACCTAGGCACCCCAAAAGCCACCTGTTCTAAACAAGCATCCCTTTGCCATCCTAGGGGCAGATCTGAGGAGGTCCTACAAACCTATTTAAAATTTTCCAGGAGGAACAGTCTTCTGTGGAAATGGGATACAGGACTCTTCACCAGACCTGGTGATGTGGGCATGCCCCGTCACTGGGGCTCAAGTGTCTTGGATCAGGGAGGTGCAAGCAGCAGATGGGGAAGGTGGTAGAGAGTTCTTGGGAGCAAGGAGTCCACCCCACTGTGGAGTGTGGAAGGGCAGATGGAACAATGATCTTTCCTGTCTCATTTAATTTCACATAATCCCTATGCACAGGGACCAATATCCCCTTCTTACAGACCAAGAAGTACGAGTGATAGAGCAGGACTTTGAAGCTACCTGTTCCTTTATTCACCATGCACCGGGTCAGACAAGTAATCAGGTGCCCACATACAGCTTTCTGAAGGGTAAGGGTGGGATCTTGTTCCTCCTTCCTGCTGCCCCCATCCTACACCTCTACCCCCTTGACTGTGGCTTCACCCCACTCTTTTCTGGCTCCATCTTTCAACCTAACCTTCCCTAGACCATGATACTTTCAGCAACAGGCCCTTTCCTCCATGGCTGTAAACTGGCATCACTTAGTCCCTCTTAGTGCTTTGCTCTCACCTCCTTGCCTCAGCCCAGTGGGGTCTGGCCACCCTGCTGCAGGCTGCTGGCTTGAGCTGGTAAGGGTGGCCTGAAGGCAGCCTGTTGGCACAGAGGCACCTCCTCTGAGGGGTAGAAGGGGTTCTATTTTGAGAGGAGGAGGCAGCTGGCTGTGTGGCTCTGAGGCTCAGGACAGAGGCGTGGGTGGCTAGGAGAGACCTGGGGTCTACACAGATGCTAGATGAAGCTGTGGAGTGGGCTACTGTTGCTCAGGAAGGGAGAGAGGAGTGAGCAGAGATGAGGATCCGGATCAGCCCTAGGGATCATAAGCATGTAATAGTGGAGAGAAGAGAGGGACCATGGCCAGACTGATAGAATAATCTGGAGACCAAGGTCCACCTCACAAGGGGAGGGAAAGCAGTAACGCAGAAGGCTGTAGGCAGCACAAGGCCCATTGCGGGGCTGGTGACTAGCACCCCACTGGGGAGATGGAGGTCTTCCTTATGCCAAACCTGCTGTGCACTGGGTGGCTTAGGCAAGGGGTTTACTGTTCTCCACCCATTCACCAGTCATGTATGGAAGGTCTAATCTGAGCCAGGGCTGGGTGCTGGGACAGCCCAGCCTGCAAGGAGCTCACAGTCTGGGATAGCTGGTGTGATCCACCTGCAGTGGGAGGAAAGGGGAAGGAACACCAGAGTGTGGGGCCAAAGGGGGGTTCCTAACCAAGCTGGGCATGCTCAGAGAATGTTCTCCGGAAGACATGACTTCCTCCTCTGGGTCTCCGTTACAGCCTCCACCTGCTGTTGGGTAATCCTTTCCACTGTGATCCTCTGAGGCACATATGGTGCCCCCAGGAGCCCTCCTGCAAGAACATGTTCCAATCACCCAGAAACAGCTATATAGCAAGTACTGCCTGAGCCAGGCCACCTTCAGCTCTGCTCCTCCTCTGGGTGCTGCCATCGCCCCATGTTGCTTGAGGGAAGCAGGGAGGAGAGGAAGAGCCAGTGCACATGGCAGGAAGAACCAAGACCAGCTCTGGCTTTGCCCTGACACTAGATTAGGTGGCTGCCTGTCACCCCCGCCCTGGGGTGCATGCCTCCCTGGGACATAGAGGTGCTGCCAACTGAAGAAAGAGAGCGGGGGAGGGGGAGGGGGGAATCCCTGGGTGGCTCAGCGGTTCAGCGCCTGCCTTTGGCCCAGGTAGTGATACTGGGGTCCCAGGGTCGGGTCCCGCATCAGGCTCCTGGCGTGGAGCCTGCTTCTCCCTCTGCCTGTGTCTCTGCCTCTCTCTCTCTCTATGTCTATCATGGGGAAATAAAATCTTAATAAAAAAAAAAAAAGAGAGAGAGAGAAGGTGGGGCTGAAAGGCCATCAGTCTGAGAATTGTGCAATGAGGAAGTCCTGGGGCCCTTGCCAGAGAAGTGTCAGGGAGCCAGGGGCTGAAAGAAGCCAGGCTGCAGTGGGCACCAGAGTGACATAGATGTGTATTTTGAGCTAAACAATTTAAGAGGGAGGAAAGCAAGAAAATGTTGGCTCCCGAGTTGAGGAAGTTGAGAGAAGGTCCTGTAGGGTTCTGGATTTGGGAAGGGTCGGGTACTGTGGCTGTGTCTGGGCTCCAAGGAACCGGAATAGTGGAATGTAACAGGCTCTGGAGCCAGACTGTGTAAAAGCACAGGCCTGGTATCCTTGGCTGTTACTGAACCTGTAAAAATAGGGATAATGGTGTCCATGCGGTTGTCTTGAGGGTCAAAGAGGATGAAGTGTTAGAACACGGCAGAGGATCCTGGCCCCTTGCTTCTTGGTGAATCCCCAGACGGTTCCTCCTGGACACCTGCACACCTGTCTGACAGGGCAGGTCTGGTCTCAGCTGGTATCAAATTCCAAACAGGGAAATGAAAGCCAAGCATCATGGCCCCATGCTGAGTCACTACAACAGGAGGTCACCACTGAGTCAATACTACAACAGAAGGTCACTGGGACTTGGGACTTGGAGGCAGGTTTCTGACTGGAATCATTCAAGGAAATGGCCCAGCCCTATGCTTGGGCTCACCCTCCTGAGTTCAGTGACCTCGAACAAGACAGCCACCTTTGTCAGGGCCTCAGTCTGCTCTTTTGGTAAATGTGGATATTATCACTCTCTTGGGACTGACAAGCAGAGGTGAGGCATATATACAGGGCATCGTCCCCTCCCAACACCCAGGGGGCCCCTCGGCAGGCCTTGATGGTCTGGGTCTCCAGCCTTCTTTGCTTCCCTCCTGGGAAGGCCAAACAGCTCTGGGCACCTCTTTTGGAAAAGCCACAGGGAGAGAGGAGCAAGCAGAAGAGCCAGCGGGGGCCCTGGCCACCCCCACCCCCCACCTACAAGAACATAGGCCCCTGGCTCTGCCCACCCCCAGTAAGGAAAACACCCACAAGACCAAACCAGTGTCGGAGAGCATTTTTATTTTAAGGGCAGCAGACTGGGATGGCAGCATCTTAGAAAGCCTAGTCTCCGCCGTGGCTGTGGCGGTGGGGGATGGGGCGGAGGGGGAGGACCCGGCGCACTCCGAGGAACCCGGCGCGTGTGAATTCCTGAGTGGGCTCAGGTCAGCGGTGGCTGCTCGACAGCTCTCCCCTTCTTCGGAGGACCCAGCTGTTTGGTAGTGGAGCAGCCAGGGCTGCCCGCCAGCGTGCTCAAAGCCTGGCCCGGGGACTGCTGGGCTGGAGGGGGCAAAATGCCTAGGCCTGAGGGAGGGACCACCCCACTGCCTGGCTCTCCCAGGGCCAGGCCTCCGATGGGGCAAACCACGGGGTGCCACGCCAGGGCTGAGAGTCCCTGAGGGGCTGCCGGCTTTGACAAAGGCATCCTCCCTTGATGAGTAGAGAAGTGACAGGGTGACAGGTGGGCAGAACTACGCTGGTAGAGATACGAAGCAATGGGACAGTTTCCAAGAATGGCAATATTTCTGGGTTCAGAGAAGCAATGAGAACAAATGGTGGCTTATTTGGATAGCTTCTGACAGAATTTGGCATTTTATTACAAATCTGCATGTGAGTGAAATAAAGTCCATCATCACCTTTCTGCTGATGAAGAGACAGATGTGGAAACACTGGCCCAGCGCTCTTGCGTTCCTGGGCACACAGGAGTCTCCAGAACCTGCCCCTGGCGTACCTGGGACTAAAGGAGCTGAGTTCATTGACACACCGCAGGGGCCACACACCTGGACAACTAAACAACGTGATGCTGCCTAACCTACCCATCACATCCACCTCTGCACATGTGAAACCATCTTACAGGTCTGTAAGCCCTGGAAAGATCCCGAGTTAGAGAGCTAAAAACAGAAAGCAAAGTTTCTTTATGTCATCTTCTCCACAGGATCTAGTTTCCCCCCGCCCCCCGAGGACCAAGAAGGGCAGCCGCCCAGTGGCAGAAGAGGAGTTGGTGACACACGGCAGCATTTGGACCATCGGCTTCCTCTGGGTGTCAGTGACACGCATTCTCAATTTCAGGGGCAGTCCCACTTGCTTTGAAAAGACACTAACATTCAAATCCTTACAAGTTCATCTGATGATAAATTCTAAGGTCAATTTTTATTTCTACAAAAAAAGGCAGTCAAAACAATATAAAACACATGTAAAGGATATTACTGAGTGAGCTTCAAGTGGAGCTTGACTCTGCAAAGGCTGTGAGTCCAGAGGGAGAGGGAAGGCCGTCTTGCTCCTGGGCTGGCCGGCTGTTCCGAAGGAAGGGGCCAGCAGGGCGCCGGCACCCCCAGACTGCTGCTGGCTACAGCCAAGTCCCGCCAATTCCAACCCCGCAAAGGGCCAAACTGTGCCGAGGGAGGTTCGCGGTGGGGCTGCGCTGCCCTGGGGAGCTGGGAGAGCGAGCTCAATAACAGGTGAGCGTGGAATTTCACATGGACATCCTGGCTTCAGAGTTGTCTGCAGTGACCAGCACATCTTGTACAGTGGCTGCAGGGAAGAGCATCAACCTTTGGCCTCAGGAGCCTCTCTGGCAAGAAATTCCTCACACAAGTGCACAGCATCCTCTGGTTGGCAGGCCCTCCTCTGGGGTTGGCCCAGACCTGGGTATCCCAAGCAGGCCAGGCCAGGCTGAAGTTCAATCAGGCACACAGACATCAGGGCTTGCCCATTTAATCAACGTTATTGTGGTTAATACCGGCCAGATTTTTACATAAGAACTGGGCCTCCCTTTTCACGGCTGCTTTTTTTTTTTTTTTTTTTGGTGGGAGTGGGGGTGGGGGTGGGGTGGTGAGTGGTGGTTTGCTTGTTTTTAATATTTTTTAAAAGGATGTTATAAATTGGAGCCAGGAGAATTTGAACAAACTCCCACACAGGGCAGTGCAACATGGGAGTAGAGAAGCCACCAGAATCGCCAGGAGCATTTTTTCCTCCTTTGCGGAAGAGATAGCCCTGGGTCTGGGAGAAGTGAGTAAGTGAAAAACAAACCAAATGCAAGAAAGTAGGAATTGTAAGGGCAGGGGAAAGAAAGGTAACTTGCAACCTTTTTGTTTGTTTTAACCTTAAGGGCTAAGTGTAAATTGAAGGTTTTGGATCAATTTGGACAAGAAAAGAAACACCATTATTTTAAAGTAGATTGAAGCAGTGATTTTTAAAACAAAGAAAGCAGAACTAGAACTTCTTAAATTTTTAATCCTTTCTTTACAGGTTACCTAGACCACTTTTGATTAAGAAAACTGTAGAAAGTTAGTAACTGCCACAAGCAAACGCCAGGCGGCGGCACGTGTCAATTTTCCACAGAGTCCTGCTTTGCGGGGTGTCTGAATGCGCTGCTCGGGGTCTCCGCTCACGCTCGCTGGAATCGGTGGTGGCAGAGTTTAGTCCACAGGTCGCTTCTCCCCGTATTTCTTTGTAAACTCTTCAGCGTTCTTACAGAATTTTTTACGGTCCTTAGAGTATTCTTCAGCTAGGTCAGCCCGAAGTGGGTGCTCGGGCTGGGGGTCGTTCACCAGTGCTATGAGGGACTGGATTACTGCCAAGAAAAGGACCAGGCACCTCTGGTTAGAACAGTCTCAGAAAGGGCAACTTTTAACTGCAACTCTGATTTACAGCAATGAGCTTTGAAGATCAAGCGGGCTTCCATTTATCCAAAATTCTACCAGGGCGCAACCCATTTTTCCTCTGTAGTTGGGAGAAAGTGCTAGGCCACAAGCTGCTAACATGACAGTGGGTACCTAACTGTTCAGAGTGACACCTCCATCTCCTCCAGGAACCTTCCTGAACCGATACCCTGGGGAGCCCCCAGTCATTCTCACTCCTCCTTCTCCTGAACTCTGGAGATCTCCTAGCAAGGACATCCTCTCACATACACACACTTGCACACACAGCTGGAGCTTCTCCAGAGTAGGGAGTGGGTGATGCGTCCCATTACTACGATCAGTTCAGGGTAGTTTCCATAGAAGTATACTGAGACAGCATAACAACAAAGGGTGCATGACAGGTCTGCATGGTGTAAATGCATAATGAGTCCACTACGGAAGGCCCCCAGGAGCTTCTGAACTAGCTGAGAAAGGTTTACTTGACACCCTATCTTAACTGCTAGAAGGTAGATTACCCTCAGCAGTGTTATGCTCTCTTCCAAAAGGAAAAATCACACCAAGAGCTTGGGGTGGGCTCCACAATGCTCTCCCCAAAGCACAGTAGGTCCTAGATGTACTGCAAGGCTAGCCCCTGGGCCACAAGGGCCACAAGGGAATAGAGGGTGTGTAGGAAGATCAAGTGGGAAGCATGGAAGGTCCAAGAACCCCAGGCCTTCTCACCTCAGAAGCGGGGTACATGCAGCCACACTGCTTTCTCACACATGCTTCACCCAGTCCTGATTAGGACTAGCACCCCCAGAATGCTGTGTTCGTTCCCACGGCCACGCTCCTAACAAGGAGGCATTTCTCCTCTGGATTATCGATGCCATGGATTCCTTTGCTGGGGACCATGTTTTCACCCCAGCATTACAAGTTATGGATTAAACGCTAATGCCAGGCACAAAGGCCTAACCAGCCCAATAGCTCCACTGAGTGGGAAGAACAGCACCAAGTACTCCTGGCCAGGCATCCAAAGACCACCTGCCCTCACCTCTGCCTATTAATGCTACCAGGTGAGATGGGGCAATTGAGGGTTTCTATGACCAGGTGGGCACAGGAGAAGAGAGGTGGTACATGCAGGGCTAACAGGGTCCAGGTTGAGTAGAGAGGAGGGGCTGGTGGGCAAGAAGGGTGGAGTGAAGAGCAAGCAGGAGGGGAAGGTCTGGAAGCACCTCTATAGGCTAAGGCAGTTTCTAATCCAACCTCCATGCCACCCTCAAGGGCCAGGCATTATTAGGCAGGCATTATTGCCTCCTACCTGTAAATATCTCTAAGAGGAAGTAGGCTTTAGAAGTATAATTTTGTCTATTTCAGATTTATCCCTTTCATATTTGATTCCCGTGTAACTGCAGGAATGATGATAAAGTTATTTTGTTTGTTCCTATTTCCCCAACTTCTGTCACTGGTATCCCACTGTTTGCCACATATAGCCTAAGTGATTATTAATATATATCTCTAAATCATCTCATTTTAAAAAATATAAATATTTTTTAAGGAAAAAGTAAATGTTCTTAACTCCAGTGGAAAATCACTTTCAGGGCAGCCTGGGTAGCTCAGCAGTTTAGCGCCACCTTCAGCCCAGGGCGTGATCCTGGAGACCCAGGATGGGAGTCCCACATCAGGCTCCCTGCATGGAGCCTGCTTCTCCCTTGGCCTGTGTCTCTGCCTCTCTCTCTCTCTCTTTCTGTCACTCATGAATAATAAAAAAAATATTTAAAAAAAAGGACAAAAGAGAAAATCACTTTCATTTGCCATAAACAGAAGGTATGCATCACAAACATTAAATGAGCACCCCTCCTGTTCAACCAGGGGAAGCACCCATACTGGGACAAGCACTCTTTCAGAGGGCACCTTTCATGGCTTCTCTCAAAAGCTACCCCAGCTCCCTGGGCCATGCCCTATTTTAGCAAGCTCCCAGATTCTCCACCCTGTGCTCAGCTGTGAGACTGCTCATATTCCTCTGTTGTTCTTGACTTCAGGTTGGAAACCAGCACCACATGTGACTCAAAACATAAACAGATGGCTTCCGGTCTTCTGCCCTGGTTAGAAATTGTTCTATAGCAGATCTGTTGCTTCATTAGCATTTCAGGCACCTCAAGGGGCTCTTGCCTGGATGAGTGCTTTGGTGGGGCTGGGGAGGGCACTGAGGAGTTTTCAAGGCTTCCTGCTCAACCTCTGTGATGAGGCTAAACTAGGCTCTCTGCTTTTCACTATGATCATCTTAATACCTAATGTAGCGGTATAAAGCTATTGGTTCATTGTTAAGGCTGGTTTTTCAAAAGAATAATTTTGCAAGTTTGCTATATCTATTTAATTAGAATTATTTAATTCTTCTCTGAGAATGTGCAATTGCTTATTTGATCAAGTTGAAATATCTTCCAATTTATTTAGTAGTTCTGATGAGTATTTCATTCTTTCTCTGTTCCTTTGGGTGCATTTCTGGCTCCTCAGCTAAACTGTAATAAAATCCAGCTGAGCTGAGCTTGCTTTGCTAGTGAGGACACTGGCAACCACGACTGCTTTTCAGACTACAATTGTGGCCCTATCCCAGCATTTTCACATATAAAACAGCACATAGTCTAGCCCTTCCTTAACCCAATGCTCCTCAGAAGTATTTTTATTTTCCCTCCAAAATGTAAGGGTTTAACAACATATCAAATTTTACCTCCTGCTCTCAATGGATACAATCAGAGAAAAAAGGCTATAAAATGTCTTCATTTTTGTTCTTTTAAGTTTCTTTGTAATAGGAGGTGTAAATAATACCCAAGATTCACCACCTCTCCCCCTTCCAGGGAGATACAGGAGATCCATTCTCAGAGTAAAACGTGATTGGTACTTCCCCCAGCCCTGAGGGTGTGCAATGCATAAACAGCCTTCCACTGAATGTGCTAATTAGTTTTCTGCTATTTATTAGATTTCTTGAGTCTTCTTTTCTAATTTTATCTACCTGATGTTTTAATATAATAATGTAAGGGGGACTGAAACATTCAATTTAGGAATTATTTTTCTCTTTATTTAGTTTTGTTGCCGTTGTTCAGTACATAAAGAGTCTATATTATGCTGGCTTTGTTACTGACTCTAATCTATAGGGCAAATCTTACTTGCCAAACTAAGCCCTTGCTCTGTTGTTAAGACATCTACTAAAACCAGGTACACTGCTGAACAAAACTTTGTTTTCAAGTTTTTTTCTGGTGTTGTTATTGCCAACTTCTACTTCCTCTCTGTTTGATAGTTTTGCTTTGTTTCTTGACTTTTCTCCTGCTATTTTTGCTCAATTTTTAATGCTTCCCTACTTTCTAATTAAAAATTGAGATATTAAAAAAAGGAAAATTCTCAAAAGTATACAATTAAGTTGTTTCTAGTAGATACAGAAAATTGTGATTCCACCATTTCACTCCAGAATATTTTAGTCATTCCAAAACAACATTCACTCTTGGTCACTTCCTAATCCCCTCATCCCAGCCCTGACAAACACTAATCTGTTTCTCACTCTGTAGATTTGTCTACTCTGGACATTCTGTGTACAGCCGATTTTAGTTCTTTTGCAGTAGTTATATACTCTAAAGTTGCCATGAATGCTGAATTACATAGAGATACTGAGCCATGAGTGACCTCAGGGACGACCAGCTGCAGAACCAACCACCCAGCAGGGCCCAGCCAACCTACAGGATGAGAAATAACAAATCCTTGTTATTTTAAGACATGAAGTTTTAGGTAGTTTATAATATAGTCATAGATAGCAGAAGCAAGGGCACATGGCAGCAAGTGCCAGGAACATCACCCTTGATGTATGTGAAGACAATCTACAGAATGATTTTCCAGAAAGAAACCCTAACTGTCCCAAAACACAAAATAGCAAATCTGCCTACCACTGCACATAGAAGAGTACCCTGTACCAAAATCTGGATCTTAAAAAGTCTGTTAGCAAGTATAAAAAGAATAAAAAGCTCCTAGGGATGCCTAGGTGGCTCAGTAGTTGAGCATTTGCCTTTGGCTCAGGGCGTGATCCCGGAGTTCCGGGATCGAGTCCCATATCCGGCTCCCTGTGTAGAGCCTGCTCCTCCCTCTGCCTGTGTCTCTGCCTCTCTCTGTGTATGTCTCTCATGAATAAATAAATAAAATCTTAAAAAAAAAAAAAAAGAATAAAAAGCTTCTCTGAGGTATCTGACAGGTATCTGATTATCTGATTGGGGGGGAGGGGAGCACAGCATTTTGGCTATGTACCTGGATCTGCCTCTCCTGGGCAGCCAGTCCCTGGTAGAGGAGGCAAAGCACTTTTACTTCCAAGCCTCGATACAACTGGTTCCAGCCCAGTTCTCAGGTAAGGGAGATCTTGGAACGTTGAGGTCTGGGAGTCTGAGGTGTGAGACAGCCAGGCCTGGAAGGACTTCCTCTTCCCCAGGCATGGTGTTTAATATGCAGATGCCAGCAAGGGCTCCAAGGGTTGTGTGAGGGGCTAACAAGGCTTTCATGAACGAATGGAGCTACAGCCTTCCACCACAGAGGTAAGAGTTTGTATAGGAAAAAACCCATGGATGTGTACTTAAGAACATACTTCACCAAGCTTTTTAAAATTAATTAATTAAAGATTATTTATTTATTTATTCATGAGAGACACAGAGCCACATCCTCTAGAGATCTTTCTCTTCTGACTCAACATTTAAACTCGCTCCTTTCTACCATTCAGCTGTGAAACCTGACAGACATCTTTCATGGTGATTATTTCAAATAAGGGAGGCTCAACTTCCTGTGCAAAAGGTTTTCAACTCCATCTTCTACCTGGAGAACCTTCTACCTTCTACCTCCATTTTCCACTGAAAAATGACTATATTGGTCACTGAAAAACCTTCTGTGGCCTCAAAAATTCCAGACTCATCTAATCCCTTTAATCTGAAAAGACCATATAGTGGTTCGGGTAGCTACATATAAGAAAACCACCAATATATGAGATTGGAAATTCAAAAGAAAGTTCTACAGTTAACAAAAATTGGACACAGTTTGTAACAAAATCCAGATACTTCCATGGGACAAGAGGAAGGCCAACCATAATAACAAATCAAGTACCTGTCCCAGAAAAGTAAGCACAAGTATGTTCCCACAGAGGTACCTGTACACATGGCCATGCATGGACACATCCAATGACAAAGAATTCCAGGCCTGCTAAAGCCACGGGTCAAGGGCACCCAGCCTACAACCATGCCCCATCCTTCCATACCACCTGCTCTGAGCCACTGGCATTATGTTGCCTGCCACGTGGATTGGCCTTATACCTTTCTTTTAGTCTGGCAGGACCTCTCCAACCTCCCCAACTTCTTCAAGTCTGAGTTCATGTGTTAACTGCTGTGTGAGGTCACCACTTGCCGTTTCTCACTCAGGGCAGCCCTGCAACCCTTCATGAAAACTTGTAGGGACAGTGCCTGGACCCCCTCACCGCACAGGGAGCCAATGGTGGGCTAGCCTCTCTATATGTGTCCCCACTGGTCTGTGAGCACAGGAGGGCCTCCTCCAGTACCTATGCAGGTCAACGGTTTAACTGAGATGTGCCCAGCCCATGAGGAATGATGGGACCTCAGCAGCACTTCTGCGTACACTGGAGTTTGTCAGGTAAGATTTCTCTGGACTCTGTGAGATATGGCATTAGAATGGACTAAAGAGCCCTTGACCCATGGCAGCACCACCCGAGGAAGACACAAGCAGCATGCCTTACCTTGGTCGGTTTTGGTTGCTGGCTTCCAGTTTTCAGCACTAATTACTGGCAGACAGACCTGTCCCTTTTCATCAATGTTCGGATGATAGATCTTTGTTTTAAATGTGATCTTCGGTGGTTTGAATGGGTACTCTGCTGGAAAGTTGATTTCGATTCTGAAGGCCCCCTTATCATATGGAGGGTTGTCCTGCAGGGAACAAGAAAAGATCAAAATGAACACGCTACAGCTCAAAAACCTGTCACTGAAACAGGACTGCCCTATTTACTTGAAAACTTAATTTATTTCAAGTGGTATACCAATTGAAGCCATGTCACCTTTAGGGCAGCCAACAATTGATCAGTATTTCTACAGCAAGATGTCTACTAAGTTCCAGAAAGATCTGAGATTGGTGTTGTGGTCTCTTTCTCATTGTATCCTTAATAGATTTTGTTTGCATAGTTTTAGATTTATGGCAACACCAAGAGGGAAGTATAGTATCCCTCACTTTTCAAAAGTTCGAGTGACACCACTTCAGTTTCATGAAAGACCTACATTAGTACCTGTTTTATTAGCCAACAGAAAGAAATCTGAAGAGGGTTTTCGCTTTTACCAAAAAAGGCAAAAAAGTGAAAATAGTACGCAGTGTTTTGCTGCAATCCTTTACAGAGGCACCGCCCAGCGCCATTCCTGGGAATTACACCCAGCATCTCAGCCTCAAGCCACTGGAGCTTGAAACTGTACCTGTGAGCATCTGTGCTTTATCTTGATTCATTTTTTAAAAGATTTTATTTATTTATTCATGAGAGACACACAGGGGAGGGAGAGGGGGGAGGGAGGGGAGGGAGGGGGAGAGAGGGAGAGGGAGAGGGAGAGGGAGAGGGAGAGGGAGAGGGAGAGGGAGAGAGAGAGAGAGAGAGAGAGAGAGAGAGAGAGAGAGAGGCGCAGAGACAAAGGCAGAGGAAAAGCAGACTCCATGCAGGGAGTCTGATGTGGGACTCGATCCCGGGTCTCCAGGATCACACTGTGGGCTGAAGGCGGCACTAAACCACTGAACTGCCCAAGCTGCTTTTCTTTTTCTTTCTTTTTTTTTTTTTTTAAGATTTCATTTATTTGACACACAGAGAGAGAGAGCAAGAGAGCACACAAGCAGGGGGAGCAGCAGAGGAAAAGGGAGAAGCAGGCTCTCTGCTGAGCAGCCAGCCTAACACAAGGCTCAATCCTAGGACCTGGGATCATGACCCAAGCCGAAGGCAGACACTTAACTGACTGAGCCACCCAAGCACCCCTACCTTGATTTATTTTGTGTATCTGTTAGCAAGATGTGTCCTAAAGTATCAGACAAAGGGACGCCTGGGTGGCTCAGCAGTTAAGCACCTGCCTTTGGCTCAGGGTGTGATCCTGGGGTCCTGGATTGAGTCCCATATCAGGCTCCCTGTATGGAGCCTGTTTCTCTTTCTGCCTGTGTTTGTGCCTCTCTGTGTGTCTCTCATGAATAAATAAATAAAATATTAAAAAAAAATAAAGTATCAGACAAGCCTAAGAGATACTATTTTTGGGGTCTGGGGACACTAAACATTTTCTCCATATAATTGGTAACTGCTTCTTTGCTTTACACCATTTTAGCTTACAGAAGGCTTCCTGGGAACACTCCCCCTTTTGTTTATGTGGTTTTTAAGATTTTATTCTTAAGTAATACCCTCACCCAATGTGGGGCTTAAACTCATAATCCTGAGATCAGGAGTCGCAGGCTCCACTGAATGACCTAGTCAGTGCCCCAGAATGCTCTACTTTTGGATAGCAGGGGAAAGCTGCTGAGTTCCTGCATGTCCCTTCCTCCACACATAGCCTCCCCCACTATCAACATCCCCCCAGAGTGGTATGTTTGTTACAATCTATGAACCTATACTGACACCTCATTATCACTCACAGTCCAGTTACAGTAGGGTTCACTCTTGGTATCATGCATTTTATGGTTTCACTATATCATACGTTAGAATTAGAATCCTACAGTATATAAAGCCTTTTCAGATGACTTCTTTCACTCAGTAACATGAATTTAAGGTTCTGCCAAGTTTTTTCATGGCACAATAGCTCGTTTCTTCTTAGCACTGAATATTTCATTGTTTGAATTTAGCACCACTTATTTATCCATTCATCCACTATAAGGACATCTTGGTTTCTTCCAAGTTTGACAACTATGAATAAAGCTGCCTTACACATCCGTATGCAGGTTTGTGTGTGGACACACCTTCCCAACTCCTTTGTAAAAATACCAATGAGCATGATTTCTGGATTGTAGGTTAAGGGTATGTTTAGTTTTGTTAAAAAAAAAAAAAATCACCAACTGTCTTCCAAAGTGGCTGCACTATTTTTCATTCCCACCACCATCAAATTAAGAGTTCCTCACCAAGAGACATCCTCCCTAGCATTTATTGATAGTGTTTTATCATTTTTTTAAAAGATTTTATTTATTTGAGAGAGAAAAAGAACATGAGCTAGGGGGCGGGGGGCGGGAGGAGAAGCAGAGTCTCCGCTAAGGAGGGAGCCTGACTTGGGCTCAATCACAGGTCTCTGGGACCATGACCTAAGCCAAAGGCAGACACCCAACTGACTGAGCTACCCAGATGCCCCCCTTTGCCCATTTTATAATCAGACTCTTTTATTATTATTGAGTTTCAAGAATTTTTTGTGTGTTTTTGGATAACAGCCCTTTATCAGATAGGTACTTGGTAAATATTTATCTTTTTTGAAAAAATAAAGAGTTGGGGTGCCTGGGTGGTACAGTTGGTTAAGTGTCCAACTCTTGGTTTCAGCTCAAGTCATGATCTCAGGGTTGTGAGATCAAGTCCTCTGTCAGGCTCCATGCTTAGCACAGAGTCTGCTGAAGATTCTCTCTCCCTCTCCCTCCCTAAAAATATAATAATAATAAAAACCTTAAATTAAAAAATAAATCTTTAAAAATTAAGAAGAAAAAGAAAATATGAAGAGTCACACCAGGGGTAAATAACAACTCAACCAAGACCACACTGAGTGGTGACAGGCCAAACAGGTAGCCAGGGCTCCAAATTCTGGTCAGCTTGGTCTCCTCAAAGTAAAGCCAATATCCAGCTGGATGGCTAGACTCTGGGGAGCCAAGGTTGCCCCCAGCTTGTAACCAGACAGGGCCAGGACCGTGCCCTATCTCCTTGTTCCTAGAATGGCTCAAAGATCTAAACCTCAGGGCCTCGATACCCTGATGGGCCCAGACACCTCTGAGAGATGACTGAAGATAAAGAGCCCCAGCCTCTGGGTGGCCTGGGTAGCTCAGCAGTTTAGCGCTGCCTTCAGCCCAGGGCCTAATCCTGGAGACCCAGGATCGAGTCCCATGCAGGGAGCCTGCTTCTCCCTCTGCCTGTGTCTCTGCCTCTGTGTGTGTGAGTCTCTCATTAATTAAAAAATCTTAAAAGAGAGAGAGAGAGAGAGAGAGAGAGAGACCTAGCCTCTCCCCATCCTCCATCTTCAGGAAGTTGAGCAAACCCTTCAACTCTGGTTCTCCTGTCATGTCACACCCAAAGAAAGCTAAGCTTCTCAGAGTGCCCAGAAATGCTGGTGGCAGCCCCCCACACCACAGCCTTTCCTCTTTAAACCCCAGACCAGCTGGGCATCCCCCAGCAAACACAGTTCCTCTGCTGGGGAAGAAGGTTGGCATGCACCACTCCACACTTCCCCAAGTTATAATCCTGCCCAAAGAAGGAAGGCATGGTACAGGGGGCTTCAGGGACAGGTAAAATTAGGAAAGGCTGAGGGGTGAAGGAGGCCTTTCCAGGTAGAGGGACTAAGGACTAGAATGGTGGGGCTTGGAAGAGGAGGTCTGGGGCAAGACAAGAGACTGGGAGCTGCCAGTGTGGCTGAGGGACTGCATGGGGTCTTCCTGAGGAAAGGGTAGGCCTGTGTTTAGGGCTCTGAACTCTCTTCTGAGCAATGGGATACACTGTCAGAAGAATAATCTGTGGGGAAACTTGTGAGGAAGTTAGAGACTCAGGGTCTGGAAGTGGGTGGAGATGTCAGCAAACAGTACAGGCTAGGTGCCTGTGTAAGGAGTCAGACCTGCACAAGGTCAGAAGAAAACATTCTTGGGAATGTTTGGGAAAATCATTGTTATCCCAACAAAACATTTCCTAATCCCTTCTTCAGGAACACAGAATTCTCTAGAATACTGTCGAGAAGTTAAAGTGGCAACAGTCCTTTTCCCGGCCTTGTCTGCCCACCAGGAGTCACTCATGACCAAGGACACCTCTATTTACTGTTACAAATGTACAAATTTGTACAAATTATATATGGGGGAACTCAGGGAAGACTGCTTTTGGTTTTGATTTTTGGTTTTTAAGGGTTTTTTGTGGCATTTTTCTTCTTTTGGTTTTTAAGAGAGATTTAAATTTTCTGAGTAAAAATCATGTTCACTTACACCACTTTAAGCCATATAAAAAGAGCTTTCCTATATAACTTTTGTTTGGCTGGTCATATCTGCCAGATTTATTCATTCACTGCCCCAGACTGATCAACCACCCCTGTGCCTCACCTGGTGCTGGGCCCTGCACTAGGAACTGGGAGACAACAATGAGTCAGTTCCAGTTAGCAGTACTAATCTCGGCTCTATCTCCTGCTTGCTGGGTGAGCCTGGGATGTTCCCGAACATCATAAAATGGAAGTATAACTGCAATCTGCACTGATGATGAGGTTAGAGAGATGTCCAACGTGCCTGGCACCTGGGCAAAACCTCAAGGAAAGCAGGACAGGCTGCACCTCTCACTGCCACCCAGGAAACGTGACTAAGCTCACCTTAACTTCTCTGAGCCTCCGTTCTTGTCTGGGGCTCTGGGAATGACCAAAGGAGTGACTTGTGTGTGTGTGCCAATCACAGACTGTCCACTTGTCCCAGTGACTTTTGCTGAAGAAGGTATGCAAAAATTAAAACAAAGGATATACGTTCTGGATAAAAGCCCGACAGCACCACATGAGAATTCTTGGCATTTCAGAGCTAAACTTATTCTATGGAAGGCAGCCCAGAAACTATAAGGGACCTTAATGAGAAAACATGTTTTTTTTTGTAGAAAAATATTACACAACTATCCAGGAATTTGCCTCAAGCTGTAACACCATTTCATTACCAAATTAACCAAAGATTCCAGCATTTTTATCTTTACACATGACTCCGACCAATATTTTTC